CTTATTTTGGTCTTTCTGTAAATTAATTCGATATATATTTCCGAAGTAAAAAAAAATTTAATTTCATATATTTGTCTTGTCAGCACTACTAATTTCGGTAGTTAAACTTCGCACAATTCTGCACTTATAACTTGCATCTCAAAATAAAAGTTGAAATTTTTGCACTCGAAAAAAATCTTGCCATCATTTGTTATTTCAATTTTGTGTTGTCTGATGTTAATAAAAGCAGACAAGAGGAAATTTAATTTTTTTGTATGCAATGGCAAAATTATATTGTACAGAAAACGTAATACTGAGTTGGAAAAACGAAATATGGTGGGCCCAGTAAAGCATGGAGGAGGAGGTATAACGGTTCAGGAGTGTATGGCGGCTTCAGAAGTGGGAAATACTGTCGCAAGTAACGGCATAAAGGACCATTTGTATTACATACAGATTTTAAAAGGAAATTTGAGTGCCAATGCTGAAAAACTAGATATAGAGGAGGACTACCAATTTTACCCAGACAATAACCCAAAACACAGAACTCACAATACAAGGCTTTGCTGCAGTAAAACTGCCCTAGAGTCCAGACCAAATCAGCCAAACAATCAACCAAAGTCCAGACCTCAATCCGCTTGAGCACCTGCGGAGCAGATTGGAAAAAAGGTTAAGAGTGGACTATTCAAACGTCAAATGAAGTCCTTGGAGAGGAATGGCCGAACATCGACCAATAGGTGACAGAAATTTTGGTTTAATCGATGCCACAGTGTTTAAGATAAGTCATCCATCAGAGAGGAATTGCAACTAGATATTAGTTTTGTATTTTCTGTATAGTTTTTTCATTTATTTTTACGTTTTATCGATTATTATTATTTATTTATTTATTTTTTGCTTAACTGCCTTTGAATGAAATAATTATTGTGATTGTGTTAATTTATTACATTTTAATGTATTGAAAAAGATGCTACATTTAATACTTAATGATATTTGGTTTGAAATCAATAAAAATTGTTTTTTTATACAGTTTTTATTTATTAATCCAATATATGCAGAAATCTTCACATGTCGAGTACTTTTTTGACCGCTGTAGACTCGATGCCGAAATGAATCAGAGGAGTTTTTTTCGTGCAAAATATTGTCTAGTAAAATATTGTTCTTGGGTTTCTTATTCGTTGGCACGTGGTGGCCACGGTATCCGAGTGGTATAGGTATTGGACCATGGCTTGCCTTGTCACGAGTACGAGCCCAGTACCACTAAAGACCCGCCGTGTAGGACAGCGATGCATGTTAAATCTGTCGAGAGCTGAAACGTCCTCCCGTTGGTGTGGTGTGGTAATTAGGAGAGGGGGTGCCAGCTCAGGTGTCGTCCACGTCACTTGACCATGGTTCAAAATTATGTGGTCCGTCGCCAAATGCCCTCATGTAGCTAAACAGTGCGACGTAAATAATCAATCAATCAATCGTTGGCACGTGTATATTCCTCATGTTATTGAAAAAAACGCACTTCGATTTTTATAATCCTCAGAGTAATTTAATCCAGAATTTAAAAAATAATTAGATGTCTGCATATATATTCTATTTTATTAAATAATTTATTCGGGTAATTTGAACAATACATCAAATATTATACAGCTTAATTTATATAAACATTATAAAATTTAAACATTGTTCTTCCAAGATTAAAAAAAATAATAGAATGATTAAGTATAGAATGACAAATTTGTTTTCAGGAAACATAGCCTTACATTTCTAATTTTGCAGACGGAGATGTATTGCTTACTCTTTCTTTAAATAATACATGAAAAAAATAGAAGATAAAGCTTCTTTCGTTGTTGTAAGTTTAGTTAAAGAAATAATCTAAGGGGACTTAATTACCTTTTATCTTCTATTTTTAATTTTCTTCTGTGCAAAATCTCTCCAAACAAAAGTGACCTTTTTTTTCCAAAATAAGAAATTTTAATTAAGTTTAGAAACAGCCCATCAAAAAGGGATTAAAGTGTTATTGGAAGGATTAATTGCTCAATAAGAAAGGACAGTTCTATATCAAAACTTATTTTTAAAACAGAAAAAGAGAAAAATTTCCAAAAGTATTTGCTATTTCTAAATGTTTAATGAGTAAAACTAGGAGCACATAATTGAAACGTTGACATAAAGAGAGTAAAATTTCAAGGCTTTTGAAAATAGTTTTTGTTATTAAAATGAGTTTACAGAAATTCTATAATAAGAAATATGAATGGAAAATAATAATTAATATTATTTTCTTTATTATTATTTAAAAGATCATATTGATGGTAATGAGTGCATTTTTTGATTAATTTAAAATAAAAATATATGTTCATAAATATTTAGTTTAGAAATATCAATCGCGCGCGGAACTTTTATTAAGGTATCTTAGTTCAATTATTATTTTCTTTCTATTATTTAAAACATCAAATCCAAAGAAAACATTTAATGTAACAGTTTTCTCCCGAATCAAATTTTTTACACGCATTTAACTCTTATTGGAACTGTAACACTTTGTATAAAACTGCTAAAAAATTAAAAGTCGAGGTCATGAAAATATGATAGTTCCTACAATTAACATTTAGAGTTTACATTTAAAAACAATTCTTTTATATTTTAAAAATGAAATGCCCTTTCTGTGAATTTAGTGTTCAGTTAAATTTTAGAGCCAATTAATATGTTATCTGTCGCTATTATTTGACTTTTATAATATATAGTTTTAGGTTGACTGACCCCAGCTTACATAAGAAAATATATTAAATATGCTACATTTTCATTTAAAGATTATTTATACGTATTCAAAAGTTCCCGGCCTGAGCTTGAAACGTGACAAATTTTTGCAGTGTGTGTGTGTGTAGAGCGCCTACAATAACATTTCTGTGTCACTGCATTCTTCCCCTCTTCTAGAAAAGTTGTTCATCAATCATGGGGTCGGTGTCTTGTCACAGCGTCGTTTTTCGTTGGTAAATGCATCTAGTAGCCGGGGATTGAAAGAAAATGCGTTTGTAGGGCAGCGAATAATATTAAATTTTGTGTTGGCTGGGACAAAAGTACCGGGTATTTCTAAAAGAATATCGGAGATTTAACGCCTTATAGTATTTATCACATATAAGTTACAAGAATAATTCATACCTTTAATGAGGAAGTATTTGAAACAGTTCAACTACAAGTTTACAAATGTTCAATGTGATCCCCATTCGTGACACGGCACAAATCAAGTCGATAATTGTGTCCCAAACTTTTTTCAGTGTCTGAGGAAATTCTTGCAACATCTGCTTCCATCCTGTGTCTTAAGTCTGAAAGGTCAACTGGTAGTGGAGGACCATACGCATAATCCTTTATGAACCCCCCAGATAACATGGCGTCAGATCGGGTGAACGTGGGGGCCATGCGATACAAGCTTTATCGGGAGGCTCTTTGCGGCCAATCAATTGGTTGGGTACATTGATATTTAACCAATCGCATACTCAGAGATGACAGTGAGGAGGTACACTATCTAACTGCCAAACGAAGTTATTTTGTTCCCTTTCTTCTAATTGAGGAAATAGCCATAGTTGTAGAGCATCAAGATAAGCAGAACCAGTTACAGTTGGTTACCAGTTACAGCCTTGGTCGTCCCGTACTTTTCCCTTTACAAAGAGAGCCAGCTGTTTCAAACTGATGATACTACCAAAGAATATTATTGTCATTTGGAGGTTGATAGCCGATCTTAATACGAAACGCTCGTTGCACAGTAATAGCAGAATCTGTCTTTGCAAACCGGACAACACAAAACACTTTCTGTTTAATAGTCGTCATTTTCCTACTAGCGCGTTGATTGGCAAGAAAGGGGTAAATTAGCATACGTTTCGCGCACACATGCCAACAAACAAAGCTGTTTCAGTTGCACTTTCATTCGATGTATAAGTCATACTAATATGTTATATGTAATGAATACTATAAAGCGTTAAAACTCCGATATTCTTTTAGAAACACCCGGTATTACGGAGACTTACGAAATATTCAAGCATGTTTAAGGCAATGATACATTATCACGAACGCAAAATTTTGAGTGTCATCGACGTTTCAGAGAAGACAAGGGAAGTGTCAAAGACGACGACATCCATAGACTCCCCACACTGCTGAAAACATTGAAACGTTTTCTGCAGTGGTACGTAAGAACAGGCTTCAAACAACGACAGGGGGGAAATGAAAACAACTGTTCTGCCACATCCTTCTTACTCCCCTGACTTCGCCCCCTGAAACTTCAGAATATTTCTTGAACTGGAATGTCACTTGCAGTGTCGTTGATTTCAATCTGCAGAGGAAGTTAAAACTGCATCACAGGCTGAATTAAAGGACATGGCTAAAAATGGATTCCAGAAATTATTCGACCTTCACAAGCAATAGCAAAAGTGTGCTGTTCTTCAAAGATCTTATTTCGAAGGAGATATGTTTTAGCAAATTAACTGGTAATATTTTTTAAGTTATGGACTCAGTCCGGAAACTTTTGATTCCTACTACGTACTCATGAGCTAAGAAAGGGGGAAATAAGAATGTGAAGTACGTGAATCTGTACCTCATCGTACAGTAAATAAAGCTTAAATTTTTAAAAAAAAACAAATATTCGTAGTTTTTGAAGTTATACTTCTTTTGGGGCGTTAGAGAAATAGGATGAGGATAATTTTTTACAATGTGCGCGCGCACCCCGTCACGGATGTGACGCAGAACCGTCACGGATGCGAAAATCCTTTGTCTAGAAATATACAGAACTGGACAAATCATTCCCGCCTTCGAAATTCTCAGAAAAATATTTCTCTTCACTTCCCTGAAGAAGACTCCCGGGTTTGAACCGAGGACCACTCGATCTGCAGTCGAATGCTCTATCATTGAGCTATCCCTTCGCGTCAGCGAACCATTGCTTTGCGTTCCGTAGGAACGGATACGAAAATGCTTTTATTAGAAATATGCAGAATGAGACAGATCATTCCCGCTTCGAATTTCTCAAAAAAAAGTATTTCTCTTCACTTCCATGAAGAAGGGCGCATCCAGATATAAACTGGGTAATACTCTCGATCTGCAGTCGAATGCTCTACCACTGAGCTATACCCCCGCGTCAGAGAACCTTTGCTTTGCGTTCCGTACGAATGGATACGAAAATGCTTTGTCTTGAAATATGCAGAACGGGACAGATCATTCCCGCCTTCGACCCCCTCCCCATATTATTGGTCCTATTGTTCCTGTGCGGGGGTGTTTAAATTTATTTAAATCGTGATTATCTCAGGTTTGGGGGGCTGGTCCGATTGGCTGATGGTTAGTATCGTTCAACATTGCTCGTGACCGATTTTCGTCCTTGGCCCAGCTTGCCCTGCTAAAGAGTTTTAGAAAGATTTTAATCTTGTTACACACACTTTTTTTTATGTGTAACATCTTTCCTTTTGATTGCCGAATTTAGTAGAAGTGGTTTCGTCAAAAGTGATGGAAGTGGGTAACAGGAAGTGACGTTAGTTCTTGCTATTTGATTTGACCAATGAGCGCACGTGATAGTGTCTCTTCGTTACCCTCGCATCGGGATCCATCTCACGTAATAGTTCACTACTCTAGCGTCGGGTCCAACTCCAGTAGAGGTTTTTTTTATATTGTTAAAGTTAGCATTTTAAAAGATTCAAAATCTAATTTAGGATAAACTTACGATCCTTACGCTCAATTGTCAAAGTCTCAGGACTCGTTGTGTAAGAAATCTGAGGTTAATTTATATGTGTAAACTATATTAATAATTATATTTACTGTTAAGCGTCTGAAAAAGTTCAACATTCTTAAGAATATACGAGTAAGTAATATGGAATTATTCGAATAAATATTTTAGTGCGTATCTTTTTCATACTTTGAGGTTAATTCCTGTCACTGCCAATAGCAAATAGAACTCACATGTTGTGACTCTTCACATGGACATTATTTATCGTCAAACAAGGGGATTGGGTATTGCTAGTCAAGAGATTGGGGAAATATGTGCGTCAGAATGCATATTTGAAAAAGGATAAACATTGATTTCGGTGGCCGTATACATTTCTCCGAATCAAACGGTTCAAATAATTAAATTCCTGCATTTTGTACTTTTACCATGTACCGAAAATGTGTCTGTGTGTGTGTGTGCGTGGTTCTGCTCTTTTAAAAACAAACTATCACTCGCTTCCCATGATTTTGAGTGGTGATTTCAAGGTTAACTTCAGTTTGCAAAAAGTTGCGCCACTCATAGCTTTTTTGACTGATGAACTAAAGTTTGAAATGAATACAAATCGAAATATTTCGACAACTAACAGTGGTACTGTTATTGACGCTGGTTTTCAACGGTTTTTAAATACTTTTAAATTACAATTATATGCGTCATATTTTACTTATCATAAGTCTATTGTATCCACCTTTCCCCAAATTGAACAAGAATAAATACTTTGATAAAAATTGCATTACTCCTAAATAAAATTTTCATTAAAGATATAATTATTCGATAGAAAATTATTTAATATCATACTCGATTCAAAACTCAAATTAATCTCACTCAATTCAATCATACTCGATTCAATCACACTCAAAATCATGGGAAGCGAGAGGTAGTTTGTTTTAAAAGAGCAGAACCACACACACACGCACACACAAATCTTCAGTATATGCTAAAAGTACAAAATGCAGAAAATCTTTAATTTTTTGAAACGTTTGATTCGGAGAAATATATATGACCGCTAAAATCCCTGTTTATCCATTTTAAAGTCTATTGCATCCACTATTCTCCAAATTGTGCAATAATAAATACTTTTGATAAAAAATTGCATTACTCCTTGTGTTAAATAAATGAAATTTTCATTGAAGATATAATTTTTTATTCAATAGAAAATTATTTCCAATCATACTTGATTCAATATTTTTCAGGATTTAAGTTACTATTGCGTATTTACCACGAGATAACATGTCAGATGTTACACATCATATGCGACTACTGTAAGGCTCCTTTCTTTTTTTTCCAAGTTTCCTTCCAGCTTTCTAATATTTATTTCTCGGTGGGCGGGAATATATATACACTATTTGGCATTCAAAAAAATTAAATACATCAAGACTCAGATTTTAAAAGAGAAATTATTTATCAAAAATTACATCACTCTCTGTATAATAATACATAGTTTAAAGCCTTATAAATATATTTTCACAAACTTAATTAATTTATAAATATCGTTGGCAATATCGTTCTACCTATACTGTTAGCGCTTCATCTGGCCCGATGACTGTGTGTGACTCTTTTTTTTCTGAAGTCATAAACGCCAAAGATGAACTGCAAGTTTCTTGAGCAGCAAGAAAACGTTCTATATGACATACAATTGCCTTCAGTTGGCGATTACACGCCAACTTTACTAAGGACATGTGGACGTTGCTGTTTGTTTTCTACTAAAGCTTATGAGAAAACAACAAGATAATTTTGTACAGCTTTCAATATCCCACTATGTGTTGATTCCTGTTTTCTGAAATTTCATGGAAAGTAATATGCATAAATTCTTAACTTTTTGGAAAATATAATGAATTTATAATTTTTTGTAGGTTTTAGTACAAATTATATTTCATAAATATGTTGTAACGTAATGCTTTCAAAAGAAATGCAGAACATTTGAAATACCTCCGAGTGCGTGGTGGGAAATATACTTCTGGCCAAAAAAATTGGTATTAAAAATCAAATTAATTATATTAACAATACACAATGTAAAAATTTATTCTATAATTTACTCTCAATTCCAAAAATATTTTAACATAACATTAATAGAAAAAATAGCCCTATAAAGGATAAAATTTCTAGCTAAAATAGAAATGCGTCATTTTTTTTTTTTTTTTGTATTAAATTCTAAATGAGTATCTGCAATGCTTTTTTTATTTCTAATAGGCAGCGGATTGTGTGATGTTTTACCATTACGGACCTAGTACATTCCCCGGAAACTGGTATCTCTTTTTAGTGCTGCACCATACAGATGGATACCAATCACCGTAGGTAATTTTGAAGCCCAGATTCCTCCTCAGAGTGAGGCACCTGAGCTATGGCGATGCGAAACCATATTTCGGATTTTAATTTTGCCGAGAGCACCCAAGCCAAATAGGCACTCAAATTGTATTTTATATGCTGCATAATCATGTGATATGGCCGCTGTCAATTTTCTGCATCATGAAAATCCACCGACTTGAGCCATGTTCGAAGCGCAACCTTAGAATTACAACGCCAGAGTCAAACCAACGTCGCCAGCCCGCCAGTTTATCTCAGCAATCTAAAAGTAAATAAAAATTAATATTACACGTTATTGGAAAAAATAATGAAAGAGAACTCCAAGAATGATGTACTAGTTAACTACAATATAACAATATGAAGGAATAATCCATCATGAGAGAAATTTTCCTTCATGGATATGATGGAAAAAAGATTTTTATAGAAGTATATCTTTTCATCGTGTTCATGTGTGGCAGCAACGACTCCATACAAAGGGAAATGTGTTAGCATTAGTCTCTAGTTTTATTGATAAATACGGAAATTAACAGAGAATATTTATTTTACACTGGGAATATCTGGTTATAGAAGTTGCGGATTATCCTCCTTAGATACTAGTGTTTAAATTAGGAAAAAAAATGTATCCTTATTGATACAAATAGGAAATCGTAATTACTAGAAGGATTAGTTAAGATAAACATATTGTACTCACTTGGCAGGGATGGAAGAATTAAAGAAGAATTATAGTCTGTTTCTTATCAATATACATCAGCAGATACCATTCGACTTCATCTGCAGCAGAAGATAATTTCAACAAGATGTCTATAGCTACGACTATAACTTTGACTACACATCTGAAGTATATTGCTAGAACACTGAGTAATTGAACAATGGGCGTAGACAAAATATTGATATAACAATTTTGGTTTCGCAAATACTACGATTTACTAATAATAAAAGAAGACAACGATCTTATCCAAGTCTGGCAGCACCGAAGCGCGTATAGCATTTCTCTCTTATTACACATTTGCATACTCGTTCTCCCCTTGGTGTTCTGATTTGAACCAGCATTAAAGGTAACATAAAGTGATGGTAAACCTCATAACTGTTACCACTATATCTCCAAAGTTTTGAAACTTGTTATCCTTTTTTTAACCTGCAAGGCATAACCTCGGCTAAGTTTCACCAGGGTAATGTGAGATCTCATGTGGCCCGTAGCTTCCAGTAATTCTTAATTGCTTCTCACACTTTAACTCACAGATTCTCCAGATCTACCCACAGGATTATTGGCAAACTCACACCCAGAAAACAACTTTCCACTACACCAGATGAAATTTATTTGTAGAAGCAACAAGATCTACTTTACACCAAAAGCATATCCAAGCAGTTTTTTCTTTCAATTTCGGGATGCATATTTGTGGGAAACGACATTTGTACCAAATGCTCATTTCTTTGTATTCTGAATGTCGGAGAGGACTATTATTATAATTCAATTATTTCAGCCTTGCAACATATAATATGTGTCTTCATTTAGTTTTGTGATATCTTGTTCTTTATCATGTTGAGTTTCGAACAGCCAACAGTTTGCACATAAATGGAAGTAAAATCGTCTCTTAAAATGTAAATTCCATAAATTCTTACAGAACTATCGATATACTTTCAGTAAAAAAGTGGAATAAAAACACGTATGAGAGATTCTATGCATAAGTTTTCGAAAAAATAGCATAAAATTATGAACAAAATATTTCTAGATGATATTTCAAGTGAGTTTTGCTCGAAGCTTATATTTAGATTGTTGAGAAAAGGAAAATTTTTAAAATAGATTGTGATAGCATATTAAAACTCTTTTTATATAATTAATTATGATTAACGAGCTTGTGTGAAACGTCTTTCGATGGCTAAAAATAAGACAGAAATTTTAAAATACTGGATGATTATAATTAAAGTTACACTACTCGGAGGCCTGTAGAACCCATTTTGCTTATCAGATTTTGATGAAACATGGAATATACGCCGTAATGACCATGAGGAAAGTGTTTCTGCAGTAAAAACAAAAACCCGTTTAAGTTTTGACCACTAGGAGTAAATGTGGTGCCCGA